AGACAGATAGATAGATAGATGGACAGACTACAGACAGATAGATAGACAGATAGATAGATAGATGGACAGACTACAGACAGATAGATAGATAGATAGATGGACAGACTACAGACAGATAGATAGCTGGATGGTTTGTGTATGTGTCTATGGAGTCTGAGTATTGTGACCTTGACGCTGCAGGTCAGAGAGTCTTCATCGCTTCATCTCAGCGGCCTCCTGACCCGACGCCTCCCCAACGGCACGACGACATACTACTATGGTCTGGACAGAGAGGTGGAGCTGCTGGACGAGTCCCTCAGCCTCTACCTGCCCAACGTGACGTGCAGCGATGGCGGCGTGTACATGTGTCACCTGGCAGCACCTTTGGGAGAGCAGAACAGGGATGGGCAGGTCCTCCTCATTCTGAAAGGTACCACTGTCATCTCGAGAGAAATATAGATTCATCTGTTGCTACTGAAAACTTCTATCGTACTTTAACTCCTTTCAACTGAGGCTGGATGAAGGGACGATTGCTGCCGTTGTTTCATGTCGCTCAGGTTGAACCAGACAGAATCACATAGAACTTACGCAGAACTTTATCATCTAGTTTGAGTCAGAACCTTTGATACAAACTAAACTTAAAGAATTTTCTTCATCCCAGCAGAAAACATCATCGACCTTTTGTCTTTACATTCCAGTTGTTGTCCAGATTGTTAAACAACAGACACACAACAAAAATAACCTCTTCTGTCTGATTTGCCTAATACTAATTAATACTAATTTATTTAACAAGAGTTTAAAACCACAATTAACTGTCTGACCAGTCTAAAAAGTCTAATATGAACAGTTTACCTTCTGTTTTCATGACCAGATTGTCCCGATGGTTCCAAAGAAAAACTGACCATCGATGACTCTGTTATTTTGGCCACAGTCGTGCTGATGGTTGCACTCATAATATTCCTCATAAGCTTCGTAAGTAACTTGCACACACACACACACACACACGCACACACACACACGCACACGCACACGTGGTTTGTGAAAACAGAAAGAGTCATCTTTTATTTGTGTCAGTAATTTTCATTTCTCCATGTCTTCACCACAGATCAGTCTGAAGAGTGTCCTCCGAGACAAAAACAATAAAACTGTGACACAAGAAACTTTGTTGGAGTCGACGCTTAGACCGCTGGAAAAAAAAGACTTGATGCTGATCTACACTTTGGGTCCAAAAACATACTCGATGAAGCACGTCTGTGTTTAAAGGACAAAACTCACTACCTCCCCTTCTGTCCTCTTCGTCACACGTCCACAGTTGGTGCTACTTGTTTGTTAATACTGTGATATTCAGTATTTCAGATAAACTGTGGATGTTGAGTAGTGGATAAAAATGTGAATCTCCAAGATAATCTGTTCAATGTGCGACAGATTAGAAATAAAAATCCCTTGTAGCTGCTGTGAGGAACTGAGAATAAATCTTTGTGACACACTTCTGTTTTTACATCCAGCCACGTCACTGCTGTCTTTATTTAAAGTCACAAGTTCCTTTTCCTTAAGATAAATGAGCCACTGTAACTTTTTCCCTGGAAACTTTGTTCCCCTGGAAATATTTCTGGTGTTGTTTTCTCTACTTGCCGTTTGTTTCTGTGTTTTCATGAACTTTTTGCGCCGCACGTGTCGTCAAAGTTGTTTATTAATTTGTACGTGTTTTTTCTATTTGTATGTGTTTCCTTCATTTGCTCTATCGGCCTCCTGAACCACAGACTGTAAATA